AAAGAAGAGAAGAAGTTGTTGGAGGCGGAGAAGAAGAGATGGGGAGATCAGGTGGTATTTCTACAACAAGAATTAACAAAATTTAATAAAGAAGAAGGTAATGAACAAATTGTGTAAAAAAAAAAGAGAAATTATTTTTTGTTCATTCCATTTTGTTTATTTACTTTGTTGGTACACTGATTGCAATGTTGACTAACTTGACTTTTCTTTATTTGTCACCAGCACCATCTCATGTAAATGTTTGAATTTCTCTTAAATATACTTTTTTAAATAATTTCATCTAATACTTTATTTTAAATTTAAGCATGGCAAAAAGCGCACTCGAATTGACAATACATCAGAATTTTGTCATAATATTGCAGCACCATTTGAAAAACCACCCAAGATTGGAGAACTCAGTTCCATACTTTTTAAACCTTTTAGTTTAAAAATTCCTCTTTCACCAGTTTTGTACAATAAATGTGAAGTACATTGTCAAGACTTTCCTTTATCTGAGTATTTTATTAATGCAGATTTTTTTAAAGAAACAAATTCCAATATTGAGACTAATTGCTTCCCAGAAGAAATATCTAATTATTGCAATATAGCTTTGCAAGGATCTGCTATTGGTTCTAGTGAACATTCTCGAGTTTGTGATTGGGATAACTTGCTCCGTAATCCAACAGATGTTTTTAGAAGAAAGAGATTCAAAACAGAACATTTATGGGAAAGTGATCGTAATACACATGATACATCATTCACATTGGCTGGTCTCAGATCAGATTATTGGGAACATTTTGGTGATGTCCTTGTTTTTAAAGGGGAAGAAAAATCTACAAAACAAGACTTTTCTGAAGCCAAAAATGAACTTACTAAAAAGATGAGAATATGGAATTGTAGCATTTATGGATCACTTGAATACATTCTTGCATATGCAGCAGCAGGTAGCTATTTACAATTTTTTGCAATAGATTCATCCTTGAATCAGACAGCTATTTCAACTATTTTGGATATAGAACACTTGGAGAATAGAGTCAAGGTAGTGAAATTAAATATATTTTGTAAATCCTGAAAAAGCACTTTTTTATCAATTTATTCTGATTTATTTAAATATAGGCCCTTGTCAATATTATCAACATCCATCGCATTTTGTGTTCCATGGAACCATTTTTGCCTCAGAATGCTGTACCAGTTGGAAAACTCTTAAAGAGACCATTTGGTGATATTCTTATTATGGATGTTGAGGTTGAAAAACGGATTAATATGTTTGCAAATTATCCTTTTAGCAATATAAATGTATTAAAAGATATATATAGAAAGACAAAGGAGATTAAATTTCTCATACATGCTGTTAAAGGTCCAGAGATAAAAGATAACATATACAAAGTCATTCTTGCACCAGTAGGAATTAGACAAGTACCAAAATCAGAACCAGAAGCTAAAGTTGCCATTCATTGCATCTTGGATGCACTTATAGCTTTACACAACTTAGGTTATGTTCATCGTGATATTAGGTGGCCTAATATTATGAAATTGGTTGATGGCAATTGGATGTTAATTGATCTGGAGGTAAATAAATTTATTATTATCATTTTTTTTGTCTCCCTTATTTATCAAAATTTAAATAAAGCATTTGTTTTAAATTTTTCCTCTAGTGTTCTGGTATCAATGGTGAAATGGTATATTTTGATCCATTAGCAGATTGGGCACCTGAAGCAATTGAAACACACTCATATACAAAAAAGGCAGATATTTATATGGTAGGAAAGTTACTCAGCAAGCTTTTATGTCCCTTGTCTGAAGAAGCCCGTGATTTTGAGAGTTTTACTACAACAATGAATCCTGATTTGCGTCCTACAGCTAAAGAAGCTCTTCAACATACCTGGTTTTCATAAGCACTTTCAAGTAATTATTTGGAACTCTTGATAGTATATTTTGATTATGATTACAAAAGTTATATATATGTGTCATCATATATTAATAAAATCTTCTGTTATTGTCAAATAATTTTTAAAAACTTGGCAACAATGAACTTGAACATGAAATGATTATCAGAATATTAAGGAGTTTATTTTCTCTTCTCTAGGTATAAAAAAAGAACATAACATATTTCTGTTTACTTCAATAATTTCCCCTTCCAATGCATTCAAAAAAAAACATTGTTATAAATGCTGTTATTCATGTAAATATATTAACATGAAAATAAAGAAATTCCTATCTGGTAAATTTATAAGTTATAAACTACAAAGTGAACATAAAATCATAAAATTATATATATAGGGATAAGGTATATGAAAAGTAATAATAATCATAATGGTTCTAATGAATATGACAAGGCAATAAATTTTTTAGAAAAAGGTTGTAATTGTGGTTGTTTTTCAGTGGTTCCCAAAGAAGAATTTGCAGAATTAAGGGAATCTTTTCAAGCTCTCACTAAATTAGAACAAGACATATTTTTGATGGCCCAACTTAAAGCAATGGATGGTGGAACAATAAGCACCAGCGGACCCGGACACTTTACCGACACCCACTTTACCGACAGGACACTTTACCGACACCCACTTTACCGACAAGACAC